GAGCTCTTTGGATTGACTTTCCCCCACCTAGAAGACAAAGAACAGACTGAGATTCCTTATGAGACCTCTTAACCTCTGGTCTTCACAGAACATGTCCTTGTTCACAGAATGGTACAGAAACTGTTTTTTTTTTTTACAGATGTAGATGCACCAAAATGAACTCAAAAAGGCTTATAAACTAATATCAGTCCATTGCTTAACTCCATATCATGTATCTAACCCACACATTAGACTATCATGTTTTAACCACTTAATGTTTAAGCCCCTATTTTTAAGCATTTTCTGAAAAACAACATACCCAAATAAAAATGTCTGTAGCTCTTGAACCCTATGGTCTATATTTATAAATCTGGTATTGTTTGAAACTAGATTTATAAATATAGACCATAGGGTTCAAGAGCTACAGTAGAGCACCAGAAAACTTTACAGTCTTTTATCCAACAAAATCCATAAATATTGGACAGATGAAGCCATGAATATACATGAAAGCATGTTTTATTTTGGTGTTATTTCTTCACTCATACCCTCTTGTCAGGACGCAGCCACACAAACTCTTCTAAAGTCGATGTTCCATGATGGAGAGATTCAGATGTAAGCTTCGGTGAAAATCCGCTCGCGGATAAATACTCCGTGTAGCGCCGCGATGCCATTCTGTGAACGCAGCATGCGTAACGAAGAGAGCGCACGAACACACACTAACTTTGTGCACGGGTATTCTTCAAGCCTTCTTACGCCAACTGTGCTAACTGTCAATCACTGTAAACGTCCTTGTGGTTGGCTAACACTTCTATCCATCAAACCTTTGCTGGCTAGGCATTGGCTGGCTTCAAACAGCCCAAAACTGCGGCTGGTGTTTCTTGGAATAGTCAGAGCTGACCAGAACTATAGGCGATGAATCGTAAGTACTGCCGTTCACTTTGTACATGTTTAAATGGCCGGTCCTTCAGCATTTATGTTAACCCTTTCCTCTCTGGTGTATTGATTTAAAAAACAAGCTCAGAACATGGATCTTGAGTGTTTTAGCTGTCAAATGATATATAGTTTATGATAGTTGATTGAATATTGTTTTAAAACAAAGGTAATAAAAAGCACAGACACGCCTAAACACACCCTTCGGTGCGGGTTAACAGGTTAACTTCCTAATAAATCAATAATATTTTACACTTCCAATTAGGGCTGCACGATAAATCGAAATGGAATCAAGATCGCGATTCGACAGAAGCTGCGATTGTCATGCGTATCTTTCAGTGAAGCACGGTTCGACGCTATCTACAACTATAACTCGAATCGCTCATGTAAACAAAGGAGGATCTTTCGTTTTTTTCCCCTATTTTTTCGTTGTTTTGGATTAAAAAGTGGGATGCATTTTGAAGAGTGGACTCTTAACTTAAAATGTGTGCTGGTGTTTCTTGGAATAGTCAGAGCTGACCAGAACTATAGGCGATGAAACGTAAGTACTGCCGTTCACTTTGTACATGTTTAAATGGCCGGTCCTTCAGCATTCATGTTAACCCTTTCCTCTCTGGTGTATTGATTTAAAAACAAGCTCATAACATGGATCTTGAGTGTTTTAGCTGTCAAATGATACATAGTTTATGATAGTTGATTGAATATTGTTTTAAAACAAAGGTAATAAAAAGCACAGACACGCCTAAACACACCCTTCGGTGCGGGTTAACAGGTTAATGACAAATTACAGTAATTCTCATTTTTTTATACGGGAAAATTACCTTATTATACAGTATTTTTTCTGTTTTCTTAAATTACATACAAATTCATGTAAAATTACGAACAATATCTGTAAATTAACAACTTGACCATTATTTTAAAGGTGACATCATGAAAATCAGACTTT